ATTCATTCTTTTCATATCTGCTTCTATTTCCCGACGTAATATGCTCTTTGGCCTTCCTGTTTTCCGCTTCCCTTCAGGATTCCAAGTTAGGGCTTGCCTCGTGATGCATTTTGATGATTTGTGTAGTGTATGTAACTCCGACTGTAGCTCTTCTACAGTTACTGCCGGTCCCAAGCCCGGGTTGGATACGGGGTTAGCGACCCCATCCTGTAGAAAACTAACTCGCTATAAAACGCTAACCAGAAAAATGAATTTTAACCATTTAAACTCTGCCCTGGAATTTAGAATGTCTTCACTTAGAAAAATTACGACGCCTCATAGTGAAAGGCGAGTTCCTTCGGAAGTCACGAGGCCGATGCTCCTTCTAACAACCAGAGCAACAATTTTTATGGGTACATGGAAAGTCCGGACAATGTGGAAGCTGGATAATTTACCATGTGCAAATTAGATGTATACAACTGAATGATTAGCTTATAGGGAAATATAACATACTTACCTAGTCCCCTAGTGTTGGTCAAATTCAACTGACTCAGTTACAATGGGGGTGATTAGTCTTGATATCGAGTGCACTGCACTCAAATATTATATGGTTGCAAGTAGTCTTCAAGAAATCTCATACTTAATTTGATCAAGAAAACTAGATCAGTACTGAATTGTATACGTTGTGAGATTGATTGCTATCCAGTGATCAATAAATGTAAATACTCTATTTCTGTCGGAGATCACTTGAGGTCTGAACAGCTCAATGGTATTGCCTGAACCCATGAAGTCAAGTGATGCGGGTTCGAATCCCAGAACAAGTATCAATTCCTTCAGGAATGGAAGTAGGCCATTTTAAAGTGTCGGCTTGCATGAAATCGAGGTTCAATGTTCTCTATAGATTACATTCAACATAATTTGGGGTTTTAAGTTGCAATATTTTACGTACAAGAAATAGTAATACTAATCCGGCTACTGAAATAGAAATAGAAAAAGTGGTTCACAAGTTTACGATCTATTAACTGAATGTTAAGTACTTGAACCAGAAAAAGCATAACTACTACTTCTACTACTACTACTACTACTACTACTACTACTACTACTACTACTACTACTACGTAACTTACAACATCTAATACTAATGTAAATGAAATAAGGATATTACTCGTTTGATATAAATTATTATTATGCAATTGACTAACTACTTATTTACCTTCCAAATAGTAGTATCTCCTCCATTTATGCTGTTTTTATTGATTTGGGGATGGGGAAATGATTTATTGATATAGATTCTGGTACAATAAGTCACCGAAACAAACGAACCACACAACTAAAGTAATAACATTGAAAAGAAATAGAGAAAGGTAATACAGTCAATATATAGGTGAACAAGATGAGTATTAAGGATACAGTTTAGTTAAAAATGCAACCAGAAAAGATTTAACTCGTTTAAAAGTGTAACTAACATCTTTATTAACAATTTAATAAGAAACTACACTGGGGTCGCAATCACATTCTATTCTGATCAGTGTTTAGTAATGTTTCAAGTTACTGAGTTTTACATCTCTAGGATATCAACCAAGAAATCATGATGGACAGATAGATCCCAGCAAGTCCTACACATCTTTCTTTCATAATAAGAAGCACTAGACAACTGTTCCGCTTCAATAGACAGGTCATCTGTGTCTATTCATGACTATACCCGGGATCGAGCTAAGATCAATCAGATATTTGAACGATAAAATTCAACAATTGATGCGTAATAAAACAATCACGAGCTCACTAGTAACTAATTTCAAGAAGTTATTATAAGAGTTCTAATGAGAAGCCGTAAACAATTGAGTTCAGACATGTCTAATGTGAGAATGACCCCACCAATAGTAATGGATTGTGAATTGATTAATGTCAAATGATTAAATTGCTAAATGCCAGCTTTTTGGTCCATTGTTAATCGTTAAACACTCATTTAGAAACTTCGATTCGATCACCAGTTGTAGTAGAACATGGATAGTGATTCTTGTGGCGTTTAATACCATAGCACGAAGTAACTGCCCAGTACGACCTGATTTCCAATGGTTCTTCAGCTCATATCAGTCTGTAATGTAAACTATACACTTAATTTAAAACCACAAAATGTCAGCTGATTAGAAATATTTTCAATTTGTTACCCTTAGTGACTGACGCTAGTAATATCTTAGATTACTCATAATTCAGTCAATTTGTCATATCAAACAGGATTCAAGCACGTTTAAACTTTGAGAATGATTCTAAGGGAAATCCTTGTTCATAATTCTATTGTATAATAACTTATTGATTTATTTATACACATAAATATTGGTACAAGGAGGCATCAAATAGATATGCGCAACATAAATCAATCTATGTGAAAGCTGAGATACTGTCCGAGTGCCCAAACCGAACCAGGTGGTTTTATTAGGAGGCCATACCACGAGCCTTCGACCTGAATGTCTAATCCACAAGGTAGTGGAGAAACGTCAGAAGATACAGTCCAATGGTGGCCGGTGATCAATAATGTTTCATACGTCATTTGTTTCCTTAGGATCTTGGAGCCATGTATACCATTCCATTGGTTTGAAATCAGGGTTTTCTAAATCCACTAGGTGGATGCCCTATGTCCACTAACCCGGTTTCCGCACAGGATATTCGCTTTTCATCCTCTCAATTTTGTAATCAACAGTAATGTCGCGAAAAGGCAGTGAGTACGACTTCCTTGGCAATGGTTGTATACACGTGGTGCTTAATTTTAATTTTAATACAATACATTCGAATAGGTTAGTTGTATTCTCTGTTTTCAGTTATGACTGTTATAGTATGTATTGGTTAGCTCTGGGAATTACTACTTGACATATTATGTCATATATTGGCTGACATTTTGAAATATTTTAAGGGAGTTAAGAGTAAATCAATAATCAGACAAGATAACACAATTGCTCTCATAATAAACGTCCTGATCACATGGATACCAAGATAACTTAAGAATTTATAATTTTTGCTGTCCATGTATAAAAATCAATCAGTTAGTCACATTGGTTTCATATAATTTAATTTGTTTCAAGTTACCTAAATTCTCTTAGTGAGTTTTTATAATAGTTTGATGGCAATTTTCAACGAGAAAATGATTGAAAACCGTAGTGGAAAATAGAATGTACTATGTTTTCGAACTTCAGTAGTTCATATCCACAACTCTAAAATGGCATGAAATACATAACCATTAACTCGTGTCAACAGGTTAATAACACAAAGATCATAAACTAGTGAAAGATGGCCGTAACAGTTCGTGTATATTCAATATTGTCAGTATTACGTTGTGGAGATTATTGAGTTTTTGATTATTTCTCGTAGTTCTAGTGAGAAGCGATGACTAGTGGAGCTAATCTGTGTCGGGTATGAGAAAGTTATCCAACTCAAACAATCAAAGATGATTGCGAAATGTCGTGGACTGGTTGAAGTTAGCCATTAACACTGTTGGATGTCGAATCACTGGTCAAGAGTTTAAGCGTTCGCGAGCGAGAACGAAGATCATGGGTTCGAACCCCATGTGTGAGATCATGGATACGCAATGCTGAGGAGTCCTACACTAGGACGAAACGACCGTCCAGTGCTTTTAGGTTTTTAATGGTAATATAACGCTGATCGATTCATAATCTCACCCATTTGTAATACAGTGAAGATCTTCATGCAATCATTATCATTGAATAACTTTCTGATAATAAATTTGTGGAGTGGTTAGTGGAGTTTAATCAGTGTAGGATGTGAAATAGTTATCAAACAAAGGTAATATATGAGGCTTGAGAAACATCGTGAATATTGATTGAATGTAGGCGTTAAAACAGTTGAAAGCCGATTCAGCAGTCTAAAATTTATATATATATATATGTTTTCATTTGTGTCGGTCTTTTAAACCGTCTCATAGATGTTTAGAACTGCGATTAATCAGTCTCTTAAGGTATCAGTATATCTTGAGCGGACTCGTTCAATATTACCATTAATTTACAAGCATTATAAGCAAACTTGGATAGTAGCTAGCAACAGCATCCAAAATACGTGTTCCATCTTATGTAGAACTTATCAGGTGAATGTACCATATTCTTGAAGTTAATATTTCTAGTTAAAACTGAAAATTGTTATTTGATAAAAATGTATATTAATTTACTATAATAATAGTAAATACAAGCAGAATGTATCATCAATGAGATGAATGAAAAACTTGGTTTTAAAGAAGATACTTTCCAAAAAAACAACTAATACTAAATTTTACCAATAATTAACACATACACATATACATTTCACTTATAGCCTTCTATAAATAAAATACGAAATAAGCTGGAATGTGTATGTATATGTGTGTATATTGTCCTGGAAGATTGGTAACAGGGTGGATAGATATATAATTTTTGTGTATGGTAAGTAGTATATAACATAACAAACTAATCAAAGTTTTTGCACACAGCATTTATATATATATATATATATATATATATATATATATATATATATATATATATATATATATATATATATATATAATAACAAGAATAGTAGTATTAAATATGATCTTTAAAAAAGAGACAAACAATCTAAGGATATGTTGTCGATTACATCATCATTATCGTTATTATAACAGATATAATGTATACTAATGTGACTGCTATTACATCTACTACTTATAAGGCACATGAATTCAATCAGTAGTAAACACATATCAATGATAAAGAAATAAACAAAATAAGAATGAATAAGAGACTGGAAAGAAGATTAAATAATGTTATTAATATTGTATTATGATTTCTTCTTGTTGCTATGTGTAACATAGAAATTATTTTATATGAAATAAAAATGATTGAAAATTAAAATGTATTTAAAATAAATAAAAGTAATTGGTTAAAGTTGAAGAAGTAACCAGGGTATTTTTCTTTTTTTTTAAAAAAAAAGAAGAAGAAGAAAAGATCGATTTTTAAAGTGTTTCCAGTCAGAATATACAAAACCTATCTATCAATATATATATATATATATATATATATATGGAAGACATTTCATGTTGGATAGTGTGTGAAATGAACTAGTTGATAAACATATAAATGAAAATACAAGAAGTAATTGAAATGCATTAAGGGTAAGGGAATACCAGCAAAGATGTTGGATAAGTTTTAAAATGGGGAAAAAAAACTACAGCTGCGTTTATTTGTTTATTTTTTGAGGAGGGGGGGGGTAATTTTGAAAGCGTCCGCACACGCACACACACACACACACACACACATAGGTATGAGAGAAAATTAACACTTCGTTATTGTTGTTGTAGTGACTTGATTTCTTTATTCAAACAATTGACTTTGTCGAATAGTAGATAAGATGACTTATTCGTTTTCCCTCATCTAGTGTATTATATTTATCATTATTCAGTGATTGGATTTTCAGAATTCCATGATGATGTCGCTGAAAAATCGAGATCAATATTCATTAGAAATTGTATAAGTTAAACTTGACACAGTAATTGATGAGAGTTAATCAGTTTAAACTTTATTATTATTATTGTTGTTATTATTTAAACACATAAACATTGGTACAAGAAGGCATCAAACAGATATGCGCAACATAAATCATTCGATTGGTGTGAGGTCTGGGATACTGCCCGGGTGCCAAAACCGAAGCAGGTGGTTTTACTAGGAGGCCACATCCTGAGCCTTCGACCTAAAGGTCTGATCCACAAGGCAGTGGAGCATCGCAAGGAGATGGAGTCCCATGGTAGCCAGCGACCAATAATTGGTTCACACGCCATTTGTTCCCTTAGGATACTGGACCCCATGTACACTATTGGTTTGGAATTAGGGTTTTCTAACTCCACTAGGTGGATACTCCATATCCACCAACCCGATTTCCGCGGCAAATATTCGCTTTCCATCCTCCGAATTTCGTAAACAACACCCCTGACGCGAGAGGGTAGTGAGTAAGACTTCCTTGGCAGTGGTTGTATGCATGTGGCCATGTGAGAACAGTTCGAAAGGGAGAGCTTCGGTTTGAGCACCGGAACAGTATCACAGCTTTCACATATATCAAATGAGATTTGTTTGGCGCTTATGTATTTGATGCCTCCTTGTACCAATATCTATGTGTTCAAATAAATAAATAATAAGGTGCAGATTATCTGATCGTGATCCGTGTGATCATTGTGATCGTCAGCTGGAGACGATGGGTGACAGCTAAGAATGGATTACAATGGTGTAGATGTACCCACTTTTTTTCCCTTGAATCACGAATTCAAGTCGTGTACCAAGAATAAATTTATACCGATGATTGTATTCAGAGGTGATAGCAGTAAGGTGTTTTCTTCAAAAAACCAGAATCACCAGTAATGTTGCTTTTCTACAACATAAGTAGAGGTAGAAAAAATTTGACCCTAAAATAGCACACCTTAACTTGCCTCATAGGTTTCTCTCTCTAGATGCAAGGCTTTTTGAAGTACGGACGTAAACTCATCCAAAACCATTCACGAAGAGTCCCTGTATGACTGTCTTCAAGTGATCTTTTTTTAGATCTGTAGTTACGCTGCCATTTATTTTCGATAACCATTAATCCAGTATTTTTTAAAAGCGCCTTAAGAAAAAGGAATTTCCTCTCGCTGTGCTAAAACGGTACGCCAATTTAAACCGGTGTACATAAGTACCAAGTTATACTTTCCATTCGGCTGACTGACCAACTATCTCTCCAAGGCACAGGGAGCTGGTAAGTGATAACTACCCTCATATATCTAACAGCACACGAGATTACCTCAATTAACTGTGCCATATTTTACGTTAAATTTCTTCTAATATATAGGAGCTATCGGCCAAATACTGACTAATAATCGAGTCATTTTTACCACTAATATTAATATTGCTTTAAATAAAAACACAATTGATTACTATAACTAGTCAACAACTTACCATCTTCAGTAATATTACAATCTAATTTTAATTTATTCATACTATCTGTACAGTGAATTAATGAATTCGAGGAACAACTGGATTCATTTTGTGTGGAACTATTCTTTCCAATTGTCGTCATTGTTTCTGTAGATAGTTCAACATTTCCATCCATTTTATGTGTATTATTACTATGAAAATCTGATTGATTTATTGTACTACAATTTAGATTAGTATGATCTTGATTATTTTGATGAATCAAATTACAATCTTCCATTGAATTTTCAACAGTTTTTTCTTTTGTCCCTTCTCTCCCATGAAGACGATGATGATCATCATCACCCGGATGATGACGACAACAAGTAGTGAGAGACGCAGCAGAAGTCATTTCTTGTTTATTTTGTTTATCTTCCAAGTTTTGTGATTCTTTCTGGTATTGTTGTTGTTTTCTTAATTCATTCAATTGATCTTTTAGAGCTCTACATAATCCACTAAGTTTTTCTACTTGTTTCTTGGCATTTAATGATTCTGACATTTCTTTTTTATGTTGTTCAGCTAATTCCAACAAACTACGTTGACTAACTTCCCATTTACCTTGCCATGCAACGGCTTCACTCTCACTTAATTGAATACGTTTACCAAGCTAGAAATGAAATTTTAAAAGAAAAAAAATCTAATTATTACTTAATCTAATTTTGATTTAGATCATGAATCGATCAAGATTAGACCATCGTTAAAAACCTGGAAGCGGTGGAAGGCCGTTTCGTCCAACTATAGGAATCCCCATCAGTGGGTGTCCACGATGCCGCACACAGGAATCTAACTCCACACCTGTCTCGTGCGCAAACGCTTAATTTCTAGACCGTCGTGGCGGAATTAATGTCTAACTTTAACCAATCCACGACATTGTGCCACTATCTTCCATTGTCTTCGGTGAGTGACTGCGTCACACCCGACAAGGATTAGCTCTACTGGTCAAGCATACACTATAATTTAGTTTTCCACTCATTTCTAACAATCTTCTTTAAAAAATCTTTACGGTAATAGCCTGTACCAAGTGTAGACAATATTACAATCAATTAAGTCCGTTAGCCTTCCTTTTCTGTAATGAGATTACTAATCATGTTAGTTAAATTTTTCACTACTGTGACCTTTCTACAACAAGCATCTACTGAACCATAATCTAAGTATATCTCAGAATGTACTGATTTCCAGAATACATTGATTTTTAACTTCTTTCAATCAAACAATTGAGGAACGATAGTTTTTGACCCATGGATACAATGTCCTCGCGGTTAGCTTAATGCTATCCAATATATTCCTCACATTTTGAAATATTTATTCTAAGCCATTTCGTTTAATGATGATAAACAAAATCTCGTCTACATACTGTAACCAAACTTTAGATGGAATAACACATTTTACGATCGCATTCATTTCTAAGGGATGCATGAATAAACTTGCTACAATCTGAGAAACTAGTGAAACCATTGCTACACTCTCTTTCTGTCTGTAAGGATCTCCTCAGAATCAGAATGTGGATATTGTCATTACTGACACTCGTCTTGTAAACAAGCCAAATATTTAATAAGTACTCATTCCAGCTTACCATTTCATACTAAATTCATATCACTTTGTAAATTGTGTAATATGTAACCAAACATTTGATTCGATGCACAATTACACCATTATTTCTTTCATCTTATGTTATTATAATTTACCCTTAACAAATAATCTTACAATTTCATTTCACATATAAACTTATTCATGTTAACATTACATCAAAATAGTCAATGCAACATTGATAATTACAGTGTAGGAGTATTTGTAAAGATTGTAATATTTGCATAGTTGAAATCATGAATCAATCAAAGTTAGACGACCAGTTGGAACGTGAAAGCACTCAACGGTCGTCTTGCCTTAGTATTGAACTCCTTAGAGGTGCGCATCCAAACCCAGGACCTTCGGTCTCGCGCGCGAATACTTAACTTATAGACCACTGAGTCGGCCGGCATCCAACGATGTTAACATCTAACTTCAATCGACCCATGATCTTGCGAAACCCTTTATCCATTGAATAAGGTGGATAACTTTCTGATATGCGACACAGATTGAACTGCAATGATCACAGCTACTCACTAAAACTCCATAAGTTACATCTTGAAGCTAGTCACTAGTGTACATATGATTGTTATCAATATGAGAATTTGTGGTGATTGTACTATTTTTACAGTTGAAATCACGTACAACCTTGTTTTATTTTACTAAAATATCCTAAGAAATGTATTTACTATCCATTTAGCGGGGTTTTTTTTGAATTTATAACTGTAGAGAGAACCCGAAATGAATTTATTGCAAACAATATTGTTTATTCAATTTAGACATCATATTCCAATTTTTAGACTATATATATATACAGTGAACCAATCAGCAATCGCTAAAATGATGAATAATTATGATTGGTCAAAAAATGACTTCATTTGCAAGGTATGAAACAAACCACTTACTGATTGGCCTACTTCCTTAAGAGACATGTGAACAAAAACAAAACATATATTTACATGCGCACTCCTGATGAGTCCCACAATAGGACGAAACGGCCGTCCAGTGCTTCCAGGTTCTCCATGGTGGTCTAGCTTCAACTGACTCATGATCTCAACCATTGAAATTACTATAAGATCCACAAAAACCCGTTCTGATATATATAGAAAAAAACATACTTTTTCTTACCTTCTCCATTTCCTCTTTAGCAGTATCAAACATTTTCCGACTATCTGACATTGTTTTATTGAATGATTGATATTTCTCTTTATAGAATACGATCTGTATGTATGAATTGATGAAATGAGAGTTACACAACAACAACAACAATGATGATGATGAATAGAATACAACAGAAAGAAACAAAAGTAGAGTAAGTAAAAGAATGAATGAGTAAATTAGTAAAGATTTTTGAGAATAAAACTAACCGAATAAGCAATATCAAACTTTTTTTTCTATTGATAAAGTAACGTGATGAATAAAGTATGTTAACTGTACTAATGAGAAACATGAAACCCTTCTTAATGGTCATGAATTAGATATCAAGAAAAGATTATCAGGTAAGAATTCTAAAAAATCAATATTCTAATCTTAATGAATTGAATAGCAAAGCAATGATGGATCCATCTATGTATATTAGTCGATTTCACTGTACTTGTGAAACATGGTTGCATTGACTATACTCATATGTCTTTAACTACTAAAGATGATGCTTTTTTTCCATTTTATTGATTAGGGATATAACATTAAAAAGAAAGATTTCGGATTCTTAATAATCTATCCAAAAAGGTACAAAATTACATTTATTCTATATATAGTTGAAACAAATGACATTAATTTAAAACAACCTAACTTATGTATATATAACTACATACGACACGTAAGCCGAGATGGATGGTGGCTAGCAGTGAAATCCAGGACGTGTGTTTCGTTCTATTTGGAACTCGGCCCGGAGTGAACATCAACTCTGAGATGGAGGTACATTCAGCTGACAAGTCCCAAATAGGACGAAACGCGCGTCCTAATTCCACTGCTAACCATCATCCATCTTTGCTTATAATGTTTCTAGCTTAGGATAATATACACATATGCCAATAAGAGACTGATCAATTGCAGTCCTAAACATCAATAGGAAGATTCAAGTAAAACAATATCAAGTGAATATATACGACCTGTTTGTATAATCATGGCTCACATTAGGATTGTTTCAGTTCTAGTTAAAATTTTGTTTTTTTTCCCTCTCTTCATATTATAGATTGTACTGTCTTTAATGATATTTTTTATCCTTAATTTTATGTTCATCTTTCTTATCTCACACAAGACTCTTATAATGATTTTTAATGTCATTATTATTACTGCAACAGCTACGACACAATAATTCCTAATTTGTATTAAATAATTTTTGTTTACATACAATTTCAGTTTATTGATTAGGAATTATTACCTTAGGGCATAGAATTTTTCGTACCTTCCATGTATAACCCTTCCTTAACATTATTAATGATGTTAGTTTTTATTAGTAATTTCTAGTAGTCACAACTTAATCAACGTGAAATTTGTTATTTTCAATGCAGAATTCACCTGATCCATGTTGGTAGATCCAGACTACTTGGTTGGGGTCCCCATGACTATCGTAACCAATGGTTGGAGACTCTTGGTGACATGGCTCAGAATCGATCACAATGACGTCGGTATATACACACTCTCTTTATTCCCTTAAACCATTAAATTAAAATCGCTTCATATATTTCTTTCTACCAACTAATTTTCTTTCTGTACTATGTCCTTAGATGCAGTTTTTCTTTTATATATTATCACCACTGGACTAACTACTTCTATGGATTCGATGTTCATCTTGTTGCGCTAATGAGGTATAGCAACTGGGACCGATGCACATATGTGTCTGATCCTACGTTGAAGCTGACTGACTGAACTTTAATATTTTATCAATTGTAGCATCAAGACATGTAATAATAATACTAGATCTATAAATGTAGACACTAATGATGATGATGAAGAAGACGAATTCTTTTGAAAATGATAGTTTGTAACTTCAATACTGATTGTTTATGTATAATCAATCATTCATTTATCCTGATTATCTCTTCTTATTGGCTAAAATTATCAAGATCTCAATATCCATTCAGATGATATAATACTGCTAAGGCAATCAATCTCATAAGATTATTCAATATGTATTGATCAATGTTAAAATCATAGCAGTAACAATCATCGCAAGTGTGTTTTTTTAATGATTAAATTTCGCGCATAACTTTTGCTCTTTACTGATTGGTTATTACAGCACGTTACGTTTAGTTTTTTTTTTAATTTTCTGCGTGTTCACAATCATGTCTTCGTACTGAGTTGTACTGTTTTCAATCGTTCTGTATAAATATCAAGTTTTACTAGACTTTCGCTTACTTTCTATATTGATAGATTAATATTGAAGTGTTCTGTCCAAGCTTCACTAATCGAGTACGTAATAGAATCGCTCAATTGTTTCGTAATTAGCAATTATTGTTATTAGCCAGTACAGAAACTCAAATATCAAGATAGAAAAAATATTGATTAGAGTATTCTTATTCTAAGCAACAAAATGTAATCATTACTAGTATGAGTTTTGAATTATCTCATTGTTGGTTATCAGAACTGAATTTTCAAGCAAATTTTGTTGACTTATACAGGAATCTTTTGTAGATCTGAAATAGATTTTAATTAGCAGTGGAATATAATACACGCGTTTCTTCCTATTTAAGTCTACACAGATGGGTATACCTGTATCCTAATGTTTGTGTTAACATTGTGGTATATGTGAACGAAGACGACTGAGATTTGGTGCTGAATAGCAACAACAGGATAATTCAAACACTTATTAATAATGATATAAACTTTATACTTATTGAACAAGTTAGCGATTATTAAGACTCGGTAAATCAGTGGATAGCATGTTGATTTTAGAAGCGAAATGTATTGGGCTTTAAGTCATAATGTGAACATCAGTACTAGGATGGAGGTACATCTAGATGACGTGTCTAGGACAAGACGAAATATGTGCATCCTGGATTCCATTGCAAGCTAGAACCGGTCTATTAATTAAAAAAAAACCTAGCTCAGGCCAACATGTGAAATGATTTTCTATAGCTACGTAACACAAAGAGTTTTATGCATTCAAGTTACTTATTTTCAATAATTAGGTAGTCAATTTTTAGTGAGAACTTATGACTTTTAAATTTAAACAATTCCAGATAAAGTGGATTATTGAAATTTAACTAAGTTCTTCAATCAGATAATAGCCGCTCTTGAGAGATTTAAACATTTTAAATTCCCCTTTACCAAACTGCCTGAGTGTATGGGTAGTTAACTTCATAATATAATTAAACAATAAACAAATCGCATAGCTCAAATCTACTAATGAGACCGATTTCTAATAGTAAGAAATAGCTACTTAAATAGTCTTCATTAGGAGGGCGTACCCACAATTTCGGGTGGGTTGATAATTCCTGTGATATCTAAACTCCAATAGCTCAGTTTCACAATTTGAGACGTAACCAATGAGCTATTTGGACTATGAGTGACTTTCAAGACAGCTTCATGTAGAACTTCACACCATAATTGTTCTATTGCCTTTAAAAAAAAAAAGAAACTGGCAGCTTTAAAGGACACAGAAAGAGTCAAGAATGTCATTAAAAAAATAACACATTTTCTACCTGTTCTTTTAATTTGTCTTCGATGGTTTTTTGAATTTCTAGACGATTCTTCAAATATTTCACTTCCTCTTCTAATGCAAGAATTTTCTGTTGACTTTTCGCTTTTTCCTGATCCAGTAAACAATGTGCCTTGTTTAATTTTGCTTCAGATAATTTCAATTCTAAACTACGTGTTTCAATAAGCTGTAAGAATGAGTGAAAAGATGGGGTATGATAAGGAATATATACATGTATGTGTGCGTGTGTTGAGACAAGCGTTTTACTTTACTATGGGTAATATGATACACCTTGAAGCTTTACATCAAACATTTAGATTTGAGCAGCTGGGTAGTATTAGTAAATGGTCTCAAGCGAACTGTGTATGAATCCAAACTGCATGCAAAAACCCTATATTTATCACCCACATTATTGCTTCAGTAGACTGAAGATATCGGACAGAAGTTAAACTACCTACTTAAAGAGATATTCAAGCCTCTACTGTGCAAAGTGTAATTTGAGTCCATAAGAAGGATTTTAATACTTTGAAGGAACTGGGCCTGATCTTAATGTTAGTCTGTTAGTCTCATATAAATTTGTTGCGAACTGATTTAACTACTTATTTCGAATAAAGTAGTTAAGGTACACAGGGTGTAATTACTTAACTTTTTTAAAACAATTAGTCCCTTTTATATATTTCGATAATGTAATAAGAAGACGGAGATTATCAAAACTATGTGATATATTAGCGCAATACATTTCGAACAATCTGATCACACATATACTTGTCAACTAGACTGGAAATGGGGTAAGAGGAGATAAGGATAATAATTAAGAGTAATAATAATAATATTAATAATAATAATCTGAACACAATTCAAAACCTAATCACTCTGGATAATAAGTCAATATTACGAGGGTAGGTTTAAGGTAAGAACAAACTGTTTTTGAATACACAAAGGGGGTTTGAATTTTCGTATGGCTAAGGCTTCAATAAACCTTAGTATACACCCTTTTACACTTTTATATAATACCACAAAAGCCGAGTTTAGATCAATCTTGTGCCCTGTTTCAATTATATGTTTAGCAATAGAGGATGATGGATGTTTATCCTCTGCTCTTATTGGGTCACTTGATTGTATTTGTTTTTGCAGCCATTTGGGTACATGTTCACTCACCCTAATGTTAAGATTACGATTGCTCCTCCCTATGTATGTGTGACCACACACACATTTAAATTGGTAAACACAGTGGGATGTGACACAATCGTTTTCATGTCTTTGAGGTTTTGAATGAAACATGCACCTTGTTCTTTCTTTGACAATGACCTTTGCTGCGCAGTACGTTTTGCTGATAACTGATTTAAGTCTTTGTTTCAATAAGAGACTATTTGAATCACCTCTGAATGGTAAGGTGATGTAGACAGGCTTTTTTTCCACCGAGGCTACAGTAGGTCTCACTGTACCGTGGACTTTCCATCTATTTATGAATTTCAGGGGGTAACCATTTTCTATTAATGGTTTGTTTAACAACTTAACATCATCACCAATGGCGTCATTTGTACAAATGCGATCAAGCCTGTTGAAAAGACACCTTATCAAACTACGTTTGTATTGCACAGGGCAATAACTATAATAACTAAGGTATTGACCTGTCCACGTTGGTTTTCTAAAAATGGATCGCTTGATTGAGCCATCTTCTCGTCTACTCAGAAGTATATCTAGGAAAGGGAGCTGATCGTTTTTCTCCTCTTCACATGAGAGATTGATATGGTTTTGAAGAGTGTTGAATTTATTTAATAAACGGTACATCTCCTCTTTACTTTCACAAACAACTAGGATATCATCCACATATCTCTTATAAAGTGACATGTTTTCAATTATGTCATCAGCCTGATTTTCAACATTTGCCATGAACACGTCTGCTAATAATGGTCCTAGCGGACTACCCATAGCAACCCCATCAATCTGACGAAAGTATTCACCTTCAAAAGTGAACTGAACTTTGTCAGTACATAATAACAGTAAATCTTTAAGAAATTTTACAGGAACACGTGATTGAAGTTTGTTTACAGATATGTAATCACATAATATATCAATAGTTTTTCTCAAAGGTACATTTGTAAACAAGGAATTCACATCAAATGAACACATTGTCTTTTCCTTGATATTAATATCACCTAAATGATCGACCAGTTCAAAAGAGTCCTTTAGAGAATACTTACATAGATGTCTTCGGATAGGGTCCAATAACTTTGTTAACCATTTAGCCAGGTTATGTGTAGGTGATCTGCACATTGATAGAATTGGACGTAAAGGTATGTTTGGTTTATGAATTTTAGGTAGTCCATATAAATGAGGGTACTCGGAACCCATAGGTTTTAGAAAATTAAATTCCTCTTTATTAATAATATTCATGTGTAGTAATTTTTCCAGGTTTGAATTTACTCTTCTCTCTAGTTTGCCAATACCTCCACATTCAACATCAGGCATAAATTTACTTTCATCACAGAGGATGGATAACATCTTACTTTTATATTCACATTTATTCATGATAACTACGCCTGATCTTTTATCAGGTTTTAACAAGACAATATCAGGGTTTGTTCGTAGTTCTTTGAATGATTTAAAATGCTGAGAAGTTAATATGGTTCTCTGCTTTGGTTCAACATTATGGAATTGGTGTGCTATATCCACCAGTTTAGCCTTACACCAGCTTTGATTATTTAAAGACGTAGGCGTTAGAGTACTCAATTGATCGTATAAATTTTCAAATTGGGCATTTATTTCCAATTCAGACATTTGCGTTATGGGAACCGAGAAATTAAAACCAAGAGAAAGTGCTTCCTTCTTATTAGCAGATAATACAATCGAAGATATATTAGTGACATACTTATCAGGATTAACTGGGAATAAATTAACATGATTAGTAATAATACAAGATTTTTCGAGCTTTTTACCGATGCTTTCCTTTGTTTTCAAAATGACATTACTGCAAAAGTTGACGAATTTAATGTTATCCATCCTCTGTGATGAAAGTAAATTTATGCCTGATGTTGAATGTGGAGGTATTGGCAAACTAGAGAGAAGAGTAAATTCAAACCTGGAAAAATTACTACACATGAATATTATTAATAAAGAGGAATTTAATTTTCTAAAACCTATGGGTTCCGAGTACCCTCATTTATATGGACTACCTAAAATTCATAAACCAAACATACCTTTACGTCCAATTCTATCAATGTGCAGATCACCTACACATAACCTGGCTAAATGGTTAACAAAGTTATTGGACCCTATCCGAAGACATCTATGTAAGTATTCTCTAAAGGACTCTTTTGAACTGGTCGATCATTTAGGTGATATTAATATCAAGGAAAAGACAATGTGTTCATTTGATGTGAATTCCTTGTTTACAAATGTACCTTTGAGAAAAACTATTGATATATTATGTGATTACATATCTGTAAACAAACTTCAATCACGTGTTCCTGTAAAATTTCTTAAAGATTTACTGTTATTATGTACTGACAAAGTTCAGTTCACTTTTGAAGGTGAATACTTTCGTCAGATTGATGGGGTTGCTATGGGTAGTCCGCTAGGACCATTATTAGCAGACGTGTTCATGGCAAATGTTGAAAATCAGGCTGATGACATAATTGAAAACATGTCACTTTATAAGAGATATGTGGATGATATCCTAGTTGTTTGTGAAAGTAAAGAGGAGATGTACCGTTTATTAAATAAATTCAACACTCTTCAAAACCATATCAATCTCTCATGTGAAGAGGAGAAAAACGATCAGCTCCCTTTCCTAGATATACTTCTGAGTAGACGAGAAGATGGCTCAATCAAGCGATCCATTTTTAGAAAACCAACGTGGACAGGTCAATACCTTAGTTATTATAGTTATTGCCCTGTGCAATACAAACGTAGTTTGATAAGGTGTCTTTTCAACAGGCTTGATCGCATTTGTACAAATGACGCCATTGGTGATGATGTTAAGTTGTTAAACAAACCATTAATAGAAAATGGCTACCCCCTGAAATTCATAAATAGATGGAAAGTCCACGGTACAGTGAGACCTACTGTAGCCTCGGTGGAAAAAAAGCCTGTCTACATCACCTTACCATTCAGAGGTGATTCAAATAGTCTCTTATTGAAACAAAGACTTAAATCAGTTATCAGCAAAACGTACTGCGCAGCAAAGGTCATTGTCAAAGAAAGAACAAGGTGCATGTTTCATTCAAAACCTCAAAGACATGAAAACGATTGTGTCACATCCCACTGTGTTTACCAATTTAAATGTGTGTGTGGTCACACATACATAGGGAGGAGCAATCGTAATCTTAACATTAGGGTGAGTGAACATGTACCCAAATGGCTGCAAAAACAAATACAATCAAGTGACCCAATAAGAGCAGAGGATAAACATCCATCATCCTCTATTGCTAAACATATAATTGAAACAGGGCACAAGATTGATCTAAACTCGGCTTTTGTGGTATTATATAAAAGTGTAAAAGGGCGTATACTAAGGTTTATTGAAGCCTTAGCCATACGAAAATTCAAACCCCCTTTGTGTATTCAAAAACAGTTTGTTCTTACCTTAAACCTACCCTCGTAATATTGACTTATTATCCAGAGTGATTAGGTTTTGAATTGTGTTCAGATTATTATTATTAATATTATTATTATTACTCTTAATTATTATCCTTATCTCCTCTTACCCCATTTCCAGTCTAGTTGACAAGTATATGTGTGATCAGATTGTTCGAAATGTATTGCGCTAATATATCACATAGTTTTGATAATCTCCGTCTTCTTATTACATTATCGAAACTTAACTTTTTGTTGAATTTCGACGGTTTACATACACAAAACTTGAGCTCTCAATGGAAAAGAAAATCCCTTACACACCACGTATTCTTAAGCTTTGTTGATTAGACGCCAATTTCAACCAGACAATTCAATAAAATACGGCCCACCAAAAAATTTTTGTCAACGCAATTATTACAATTATCTGGAACAAAATAGTGAATGGAAGCGACTGCAGCCATGCAACTTCTAATTTTGAGTTAATAGGAGCCCAGAAGCTTTCAGCATGAAATATAATTATCTTAATAACCCCGAAAATGGAGTTCACTATCTTCCTACACGGCTTAGATTAATGGTTAATGACTTTATGATTTGAGACCATGTCTTATTTTGGCTGTTCCTAATCTTGTCCCAACTTACTCTTACCCTAACGGACGTAGCAGTTTGGGAAAAACTGTGACTGAGGCATTTTATGCATATATATCCATATGATAGAAAAACAAGGCAGTTAAAGAATTCACTTTGATCGAATTGAAAAATTGTGGGTTGAATTCATCACAGATCGGTTTCAGTTAGAATACCGTTTAAAATCAAGGAGTACTAAAACAAGTGTTTTATCTTAATATAGGGGTTGGGAGAAGTGCGCAACCACGTCCCTACTAGAGACCGAATACAGTACTTTTTCGTATTGCGATGAACTCCCAATTCAATGATCCGACTGTAAAATTTCAACTAGATGGAAACAGCAGTGTGGTGCTCTCCTGCTTTAAACGACGTGCCAACTGAAACTAATGTGTGATGAGTGTAACCTAGATATTAGGCCTGCATTTACATAATTTCTTCCGCTAACTCAACAACTTTCGAATTGGTGAAATCTGATGAAAAAAAGGGTGGAAGACAAAACGTAAATGAAATAGATTACTTAAGGCATAATAATGATTAGTCATGAAGACCACTAGACAGACTAACCTTATCTACATGTTCCTCACGTTTCTCATGCTGTTTAATAAATTCACCCAATTTATCAGCTAATTCTTGATTCTCTTTGCGTAATTCCACATTTTTCGACTGATATTCACATAATTGATTTTGGATACTTGTTATACTCGTTTGAAAATGATCTGAAACTTCCCGACGTTTTTCATCTTCAATACGTGCACGTGACAAGCTCTCTTCCTGAAATAATAAGGATACAAATTTAAAACCACAACTCTCTTGTGTATTACTCCATACTACTTACTAATGTTCAGTAACCCGTTTCATTTCTTGTAAAGTTTGGACATATAGCGTATAATGTCTATTTGTTACCAAATAATATTCTTAAGCATTTACCTAAACTAGTAACATTTGCTCCATTTATTATGACAGTTAAATTCTCGAAACACTTGTAACAGTTACTTTCTTGAATCTTTGTTAAAACTCAACACCTCCCATATTTTTGTGCTCTTAGTTTCCCCGTTCTATTGTTGATAGCCACAGTTGTCAGGTATCATTTTCAATGTCATATGCTGTGATCAATGCCTCCCTGATTAATGCAGGAATTGGTGCCTCATTCAAATATACAGACGCGTTAACCAATACATGTACGTCAAGAGATGAAGTTTGTAGCAAACTTATATATATATTTTGTAAAGGATATGATTTGAGAAGAAAGAATCAATTCATAGAATAGAAATCGTAACTCGATTTTGAAAGTCACTATCTAAAGGAAGATATGATTGAGACCGATTCTGATCCATGTCACCAGACATACCTATTTCTTATTCACGATAATCGCGTTAACCACGACCACGCAGGCTGCACCTACAAACATAGTATCATTTATGCTACTGAGGACTACGGAAAACCAGCAATACATTCCCTTCTATTTAAGATCTATTGTTCCGATGAATACTTGGTTCATTGAGACATTAGGGTCTGTAAATTGTATTGTTGTGCCTTGGAGTGTAAAGCATGAAGGTCTCCATGAAGATATATAACAAGATACATTCCGCATAATGATACTACCTAACTAAACGTGAAACGAAAAAGGTCAAATGAGGTTCGAATTTACGATTTAACGATAGAAAATTTAGGTGACTTAGTGATTGAGGAGTTTTACTTTCAACTACTAAGTTACAGACTCGAATTTCGTTCCACCTCTCTCAGTTTGAAAAGCTGAGTAATACCACGAGCCCTTTGACACATATGAATCTGTAATTGGTGAGTTATATTATCTATTAAGCCACTGCTTCAAAACATATAAACCATCTCAAGATTTTTTATATGTGTTAAGGATATCATATCACCAAATACAATGTACAATAATTTTCGTTCATTCAATTTCAATACATTTTCTTGGTTTCTGTTAATAAACTTCCAGTGTATGCCAGCTGTATTTAGTTACTTCATTCTCAATGCATCTTCCTTGTAATCAGAATTTCATTATAATTATGTATTTAGTGATCATTATTCAGTTAATAAAACTATGTAATCAATCATTACTGAATTGAGATGTAACTAAATTAGCTTGTATGTACATTCAATCTGCTTTGATTTTATTCAATAAATCCTCTTAACAAAGTCATTCTTTTGGAGTAGCTAGAGAGAAGCTAGAAGTGAATAGAACTAATACATGTGGTATTGTGGTTGCCTTTAGATTTATCGTCGTTATTCTGCATCTGTAACAGTAGTGTTTGCATTTTTTTAATATACTTACAACCAAAATCAGTCAAACAGTAATGATGTGAAAAGATGTATAGAGTACAAGCAATAACAACAATGATGTATTTCATAAGTTATTTTAACTCATTACAAATCCGGAAATTCGACCAATCAGTTTTCATTACAAAACGATGAACTAAATCCATGTATGTTTTTGTACAGTTAAAGTTTTAAGATTTAACTTTCCGAATATTAATAAGAACTAAAAATTTTATGAATCCCTGAAACTCATGAAATTATTCATGCAACACTGTTTAGTGTCATACTGATTAACAAATGCATACAATCAGCTATTTCTTTCTTACTTTAAAGTAGAGCGGAGGTCAAACCAAAACGTGGCATCAGTTCACAAAGTCAATGACATCTAGTTTGAGCCAAGTTGATAGATGCACACTACTTGGTTAGGGTCCGCGTGACTATCGTAACCAATGGTTGAAGACTCCGAGTGACATAGCTCGGAGTCGATCAGAATGACATAAGTGTAAAAACTCTTTATCTTCTCTTACACCGTGAAATTGAAACTACTTTATATCCTTCTTTCTACGAACTAATTCTTTCTCCTTGTATCATATTCTTGTATGCAATATTTTTTTCATATAATACTACCATTGATCAACTGCTTCTATGAGCTTGGTGTTGTTATAATTTCTCTTATTACGACCCAGCTGTTCCTATTGTTTAGTAATCTTGGACACTACCTCACTCGACAAGTCCCCAAATCAGAACACGGTTGAACAAGAACGAAATTATATTCCAAATAACAGGGGTAGATGGAAGTAGGAAGCACAATAAGAAAAACGTTAGTATATTTATAGTTTTTACATGAGAAGATTCTAGAGTCTTCTCCAAGCATTCACTAGCGCTGATTGGATAAGAAAGAGCCAATTAGAGTTCCCCAACATAATCCTGCACATAACGTGTTTTAATCCAATCTATATTCCGCTAACATGTGCTCATCTTGTTATGCCAATGAGGCATGGCAACTTAAACCGATGCATATATATGCCTAATCCAACATTGTATCTGATTGACTTTCAAATAAAACCAAATATTACATAATGAGATCTAACGTTAGAACTACAAGACAACTATAATTCATATTGAGTTCATTTAGATCACCTAACAAATCTAAATGATAATAATCAATATCTTATGTAAAATCTGAAAGTTCTACTTTTTGATCTTGAAAGTAAACAATCTGAAGAGAGTTTATAACTAAATAAAACTGATATTTTTAATATTATAGAATTTTAATTACTTTCAATAAAGAGAAAAAATTTTCTTGGTAAAACTAATTAACTAAAAAGAAAACAACAAATAAAATTCTAACCTGAATGATTTTATTTTGTTTTTGTAGTTCACGACATAAAGTTTCAAGTTTATCCTTTTGTAGAATTAGACGATTACGTTCATTCTGGAGTTGATCACGTTCAACACGCACCTTAAGTGGAAATATATATATAAGCGATGCATAAGAATAGTTTTAGAATTTACATTCAAGTCGAATGGATAAATGGATTTTTGACAAATGAATTACATCATTATTGAAGTAAATCAAATGGAAAATTGTTGTATCAGACGTGTTGTAACCGTCAAAGTGCTGTAATACATAGAACTGGGAACCATTGTTTTATTTATTTATTTATTTTAACACATAGGTATTGGTACAAGGAGGCACCAAATACATATGCGCCACACAGATCTCATTGGATATGTGTGAGGGCTGTGATACTGCCCGGGTGCCAAAACCGAAGCAGGTGGTTTTATTAGGGGGCCACATCCTGAGCCTTTGACCTAAAGATCTGGCCCATAAGACAGTGGAGCAACGAAGAAGATGCAGTCCCATGGTAGCCGGTGACCAACGATTGGTTCATACGCCATTTGTTCCTTCAGGATACTGGAGCTAGCCCATGTGCACCATTGGTTTGGGATCCGGTTAAAGAGCCGGACATTCGCTTTTCGTCCTCTCATTTTCGTAAACAACACCGGTGTGACGAGAAGGCAGTGAGTAGGACTTCCCTGGAAGAGGCTATATATGCGTGGCCATGTGAGAGCATTTCGAGAGGGTGAGCGGACTCTCCCCACTCTCGGCCATACCAGGGCATTTGGGGGCAACAGATTGCTTAAAATATTTCTTTTTCTCTTACTCCCTGGTATACTATGATATGTTAATACGATAATGAGGCTAGTCAAGTTACATTAGAATTAGGATTCACGACCCAGAATACGTACTAGATAATACGTCATTCAACACACTAACAGTCAGTTTCAGTGAGTCCGGATGGAAATTAATGAGAGGAAAGGAGATCATATATCTAATAGACAGTAGGCTATCTCTGATTGTCCACACTCGTGATTCTAACGAAGGAGTAGCATAACTGACTTAAGACAAAGAGTAGCTAGGCTTGATGAACTATTTCCATAAATTTTTAAAGACAGTAGTTTAGTTTCAGCAGTAATAATAATTCAGGTATTAGCTGAAGCCTGGAAGATGCATATGATGTCACACGAGATATGAACACTGACCATCATAGTTCATAAGAAAGAACTGAAAACTTCCCGTAATAGGCACAGAGGAATCAGTTTGACTGAAATGGTCTCTGAGAAGTTAGAATATAAAGTCATCTAAAGTTTAATCGGAGTTCAGAAACACCAAACTAGACTAATTTCAAGCCAAGACGTGAACATGCAGGTCAAATAGTCACTTTTGTCAGGTTTTCGAACATACACAAGAGCAAGATATCCACCTTCCAAACATATGTTATATATGGTTGAAAGACCGAATAATTAATGCTAATGCTAAGTGCGAAGTGAAAGCAACAAACCAAATGATAATAACACAAGCCTTTGTCGTCCGAGTTGGAGAGACCAAGCACTACATATCCCTAAACACTACCTACAATGACATGGAACGTCGGCTGACAAGATTAGTTCGGGAAATTGACAAGTCTTATAACGCTCGAAAAGGCGTGAAGTGTTAAAAGAACGCTTTACTTTAAGTTTTGTCCATGTACAGATAGCCTTATGCTTCTGGAGCGTTCTGGAGCCATATTAAACACAGTAGTAGGTTAGCTTATTATCCAATCAGAAACACGATATATGAATCTTTACTTTCTAGATGTTTCTGAGATACTTCTATTCAACGCTGATTGATTAAAAAAATTTCCATTGTTTTCAGGGCCCCTCTGAACTTTCTCGAGGAACACTGGATCTCTCCAACAGAAATAGCTACTTACTATTTAGTAGTATTGACATGAACTGTATATCTAACGATGTAAGTGTGCTTGTTGAGATATATAGGCTGACAGAGGCATTGGAGGATAGTGAGTTGACAAATAAACCAAATTCCCTTAGTTTCAAAAAGCTAGAGCTTTAAATTCAGTTCATGATATAAATGTCAATTGAACAAATAAATGATCAATATTCCGTAATTTAAAACCGATCTATCAAAAGAAATGTACACTAATATTTGCCAAATAAAGTTCAAGATATTTGACGTTAAAGTAAACTTGTCGCAAACTTATGAAGATTAATAATGGAGAGATTCATTTTACCGCTATAATAAATACATTGTAGTTCACTTAAATTACGAGATCATGCTAATAAGCACTCCAAGCGAGTTCAAACTCATGGGTTCCAGAAGGTCGACACATGGCAATACATTAATAAGTGTTTAGTTCGGTCACAACAAAAACTATGGGGAGAATGTATAGTGCCACCAACCTCTCTATTACTTAAAAAACTACTTCGCATACCACGCAAGTTTTAACATATAAAAGTGTTAATGAGAATATGATTTACGGACAATCTTTCAACAATGCTAAAGCGGATTTGAAAACGTCCACCTTATTGGGGTTAGATGAAGGTGTAAATGTGGATGTTAGGGGTAAGAATCAGATCTAAGGTTATCACGAACCGATATCAGCTACGATACCAAAATACTATTTGACCTATTGGATGAGTGAATTTCATGCTAAAATACAAGACCTCAAGTCCTAAATTTGATTGACTCGTCAACAAATTATAGTCCCGCCAGAAGTACTTGTCCGTATCGGGAAACTTTAAAGTGCTCAAAGTATATCTGCAAGTGTGTGCATATTGACATTGTGCTTATGGCGTAAAAAGTCTCATTCTATTGATAAGTGGTAGCCCATGTTACTTAGGTAACTACAGTTAAATCTAACAGGCAGTATGATTCAAGTGAACAACTTGACCTACCTGTTGTATACTCTGCTCAAATTGTTTGTTTTTTGAAGAGTTTTCTTTCTGGTTTTGATAAAGTTCATAGTATTTCTGACATATATATTCAAACTTAACATCGTTTGAAGCATTTTGAGGAAGTTCTTTAAGTGTCAAATCTAAATGCTAAAGTGAAAAGCTGAACCTCATTAAACCACCTATTAATTTGGTGCGTTTCTTTTTTTGTTTGCTGTCATGATGCGTTTCTATATCCTGAGTAGCTAAAACTTCGTCCTTATCAACCATCTATGACTTTGAGCTTGAAGTAGCGTACTGGACGTTTTCACCGCGACAACCAAATACTAAACGCTGAATAGTATAAATGGAGTCATTGTTTCTTGAAATCTGCCTTTGAACTCTCAGAAGGGGTTCTGATATGATTATAAGTTTATTGGCCCTGATAACTGACTCCAGTTAGGTCATATGATGACTGAATAAATGATTGTTACTGTAATATACATCCCGTATACTCTCGAACATAATTCGCATTAGTTAACAACGGAATTAAGTAAGTCAAATAAGAGGATTGAGTTTGAACATTTATATTTCGTAAACCAATTGATCTGAACAGGCAACCAAAGAAACGAAATAGAGAAAGCATGAATGAGAGAGAGCTCAAAATGGTTCAAATGGTTGTGGACGGAATAGAAGAAGCTTTCGCTTAACAGGCTTCCGTGTCTAGTAGCAAAAGATCATCAATACCTCCAGGCAGGAACCTAGGTATATTAACGATAAAAGATAAAAAATAAATTGGTAAATCATAGTAAGATACTATCCTTAGTTCTTAAGAATAGACCAAGTTGCCTCTTAAAAGACTCCTGGGAAGTCGCTTGGACTAGCTCAGCCAGCAGCGAATTCCAGAATTTGACAACTCTTAAGGAGTAGAAGTTGTGCCTACAATCCATTCTGCTATGTTGTATCTCCAACTTCTGGGTGTTACTCCTTAGGTTAGTATTGAGACTAAGCTTAAGTAGATGTTTAAGAGGATGTACAAAAGTGTTGATGATACTGTAAGTTCACCTCTAAGACGCCTATAATCTAATGGGCAAAGGTTAAGTGATTGAAGATGCTCTTTATAAGGCCTAAATTTGAGTTTCCGAACTGATTTAGTCTTAAAGTGTCCTTATCTTTTTGGATTGAAGGAGGAAATACTATCTTTACGTACTCTTAATTGGGACGAATATAACTGTTGAAGATTATGTGGAAAGTTCTTCCATCAAACTGGCCAAAAATGCGCTTCAATGTTACCAGCGCAAGGTTTGCTGGAAAGGCATTTTTGTCACAGTTAACGTAAGACTTCAAATCGTGGGGCACCAGGATTCCTAAATCTTTTTCGACTCGGGATACTACTAGAGAGGAGTTTCCTAAGTTATAACTGTAGTCTGCGACATGTCGCAGATGGACTACTTTACACTTTGAAGTGTTAAAGGTAAGTCCGTTATCGTTTTTCCAACTTTGAAGTAGGTTCAGATCCTCCTGAAGTACATGTATATTGTCTTGCTTGCGTATTTCTCTCCAAAGTTTCACGTCATCGGCAAAAAGTAATGAGTCTGACGATGCCTGTTGAGAAAGATCATTCATATAAATCAAGAAGAGAAGAGATCCTGGTATTGAGCCCTGGGGGACCCCACAAAGAAATTCTTTAGCCTGAGAGAAAGTGGAGCTAACCCTGACCTTAAAATGCCGATTTTTCATATATGAAATAAGCCAATCAATCATAGGTGGTCTAATACCTAATTGTCTGAGCTTATTGATAAGACATATATGGTTAACTCCATCAAAAGCTTTAGAGAAATCAAGGTAAATGCTTGTCCATCTGTCCACCGCAGTCAGCAGGTTGGTTATACTAGAGTAACCCTTCCTGAAACCGTGCTGTTGGGGTGAGAAGAAATTTAAGGACAGCAGATAGTCATGTATATCATCGTATATCAGGGACTCCATGATTTTTTGAAGGTATAGAGAGAAGAGCAACCGGTCGGTAACTTGAAGGTTTGCTGCATCGACCTCCTTTGAAGATTGGTGTCATATGAGCCAACTTCCAATTTTCCGGTAGTTTGCCTCGACTTAGCGAGTGTGAGAACATCACGCCAAGCGGTTTTGCCAGGATTGAAGCTGCTTCCCTCAGTGTAGCAGAATGGACCATATCTGGGTCAGGAAAAGTGTCTGTTCTTAGATGCCGCAGTTTTCGGAACACCGATTCAGCGTTCAGGTTCACTACGGAAAGTCCTGTGCAGTTTCAGATGAAGTTGTCATCAGTACAGTTGATGTGGGTCGGTTGAAATGTCCTGGAGTATTGCTCAGCCAAAAGGTTGGCGGTGTCACCGTCACTACCGGTTGGGCCGTTAGGACCTAGTAGTCGGGAAACTCCAGTTTGGGCTTGACGAAGAGAGGCTGCGTAACGGAATAAGCTTTTCGGATTGGAAACAAATTTATCCATGAGCTTTATCTGGTAGTGAAGCCTATCTTCTCTTATGGCCTTCGTGCAATTGTTCATTATATGTTTGTATTGCCTGTACGCGCCGTTGTTGTCAGTTCGTTTGCATTCTGCCAAACAGTGTCTTTTGCGACTTAACGAACAAAGAGTGTGAACTTTGATGACTGTAGGTTGTTTGTGGCTTTTGGGGACCGTTTGAGGGACTGACTGCTTTGTAGCACATAAGAGCGTTTGCAGTAAGAAGTCCTAATGAGCATCCACATCAAGTTGAGGGCGAACATCCCAATCCACTTGTTGTATATAGTTCTGCAGAGCAGACACATTCAACCGTTTGAAATTCCAGCGCATGTTGTTGTTGGGATATCTTAGCTCAGTTTTGCTGACAAGACTGAAGGCTATAACGGCGTGATCGCTTTTCCCCAGGGGAGCAAGAATTGAGAGGTTGTCAACTAGAAATTCTTCGTTTGTAAAAACACAGTCTATGCGTGACAGTATCTGACTGTTTCTCCAACGAGTAGCCGACTTCACATTTTCGTATAATCCCAAATCCTCGATGAGGTCGAAAAACCGAGTTTCAATTGAATTTTCACCTCAAATATACGTATGTTTCGCGAAGTTGACTCTAGGGAGATTGAAGTCCCCTAGAATCAGGATATGAGTGAAACCGAGACGCGTGGAGTGGGATAGTCCTTCCAGCATACGACTGTCATGCTCGATGTCGGCAGTGGGCTTCCTACATATGACTCCGACTAGGCACCTCGAAGTAGTAGACAATCTTACAGAGCACCATATAGATTCCTCAAGATTGTTAAACTCGTGATTGTGAACTTGATGTAACTCCAAGCAAGATCGTTTGTATACGGCTGCTCCAGCCACAACTCATGTTTTTCTATGGTTGCGAAACAAAAACATCTCATGTATTGCTAGCTCCTGGTCCGAAAACTGAGATGATATCCAAGTTTCAGATATTCCTATCAGATGAACATTACTAACATTGTTAAGTTCACGTAGCCCATCCATTCTGTTTGGTAGACTCGCGGCGTTCATGTATAAGCAGTTAATGCTGTCAATTTGAAACGCGTGAGCTTCTTCCTGTTTGTCTGTATGAGCCTTACGTGAATGGACATCTAACCTACCTATATAAGGTTTTCCGAATTGGTAGACCCTGTCCTTTACACGTTTTTTTATCATCAAGACAGTTCACAAGTGGAATGGTCAGATCCAACTTGCCTTTGTGCTTGATCCTGGCATCATGTGGTCTGTCCGGGTGCATATGGATCCCAGCTGGCAACCGACGTTTGTTGGCCCGAAATGCTTCCAGAATTTCAGCCGCCATATGGGAGGATGGGAAAGTTATCCTCATTAGCAGGGATCTAGAATCAACGTCCTTCTGGGCTAGCGAATCGAAACAAAATGACCTGTAGTGGAGAAGGAGAGTTAGAAAGTCATATGTAATCATGCGTTAATCAATATTTATGTTCATATCGAAGAATAAATTACAGACACTTTATGAACGGGGTAAGTCATTAACACACATACGATCACATGGAAATAGTTAAGGTTAATAAGCGGGTAAGTGACAAGGTCAATGTGTGGCTTGAGAAGAATGAATAAATTGGTCTGTCTGAAAACTAGAATAGCCTTTGTCTGCGGTGGTGTATTTGTGAGCGATAATCGATAGATCATACTATGTAAGTTCACAAACCGGAATGGAAGTTTCAAAGTCATGCTTCTCTAACCAAAATGTTTAGGGTCAATAGTGGTATTTGTACAATTATGAGGATCAATGGAAAAGTGCGAATAACCACGAAGAATAACTAGAAAACAAGTCTATTTTAGCTATTCCCAAAGAAGTACGAACCGTTATCTTGATCCTTTTTAAACTTAAAATAATCTAAGGTTAGTCTGTTCTATTTCCGAACTTGCGGTCAACCATCTTTTTGAAGGGTTCAGGGGCAATTCCAACACTATTTTTCCCTTTAAATATATTTTATGACTTGGAAAGTTCTGTCACAGAACAAGATAGAGTTTTTATTTCTTCTTTTTGACCAGACATTAGATCTCAAGGTAGACGTTGGTAAAGCAAAAGGAATTCCCGTTTAGCGAATATTTTGTCAAGTATGAAACTCCTTAATATTCCTCTTGAAGTAACAACTCGATTTGACAACATAGGACATTTTAATCAGATGCCTATCAATATTCGTCGATATAAATTACCGTTAAGGAATTCGACGACTGATTTCGTATAACTTCTTGGTGTTATGTCCAAGTTTTTGCTCCTTCCTGTTATTGAAGTACGGTGTGTAGATCTATTTGCAATTTAAGAACCCAAAATAGCAACAGAACCAAACTTCAATTTAGAAAGCAAGTTTATTCGCAATTCATAAATAGTCGACAAATGTCGTTCTTCAATTTTTTGGATTCTCGATGCAAATCTTCCAAGTACCAAATCAAAGACAAAACAAACCAAAATGTCCGAAAATAATGATATAAACAAACAAGCTCAAAAGATGAGTAAAACAAATACATCCAAAAAACATTAAAATTATAAATATACAAAATAAAGTTTGTGATCAGCCAATGTCTTTAGTTCTCCCGTAACACTTGGAGAAGTTTGAAGGACGTTAAGGCTCACAATGGTTTGACCCTAATGAATGTTTGAATAGTTTAGGCGAATAAAACAGCACTCCCTGATCTCACTGAAAAAATAATTCTGAAGTTCAAACAGAATAGAACTTCTACCTGAGTGTTCTTAAATATATTCATGTATATCTCTTTGTATCTTCTTCGAAATATGGAAGAGCAGGGAAATTCAAGGCCGACACTGAAACTAATTATTCACACTGATTTTAATCTT